TGGGGGCTCCTGGTTTGAGCAGGACCCTTTAAAGCTAGTTCCCCCACCCATCCGTGGTGCTCGTCCTTGCTGTGCCCTCCTGGGAAATAACCACCCTCTGGAGGGGCAGGAGTTGGCATCCCTGTTCTAGGCTTCCCCCTGGGCAGCTGCAAAGTGATGGGTATTTATCACCACTGCTCAGGGGAGGGTGCTCAGGTGTCAGCAGTTACCTGTGCTGCCTCTGTTAAAGTCACCAGCAATTTCTCCCTTCCAAGAAGCAAAAAAAAAATGCCCTCACCACATCCACGTGGTGGCAAACAAGAACCTGATTCATCCTCAGATAATTCACATATGTCCCTTTTCTCTTCCTCCCTGAGCAGCCTTTGCATATATATGAAGAAAGCTCTCGAGCAGCACTGCAGTCAAACCTGATCTGCTTCTAGAAGACAGGTCCTTAAATTACCCTCTGCAGGCAGGGAATTGCTGGATGTTCTGGTGCAAACCCGTGGTGACAGTGGTGGCACCTGCTTGTTTGGCTTGAGCCCTGCTGTGCTGGGTGGTGGCAAAAGGCAGGGCCTCGAGCTGGCCATGGTGGGCTGGTAGGGGGTCCTGCAGGGCTGCCTGGGGGTTTGTTCCTGGGAGTTTGGGGCTTGGGAGCCCAGGTTTGGGGCAGCCTGGCTGGGTGGTGCTGGGGACATGGTGGTCCCTGTGGCTGGGGGGAGCTGGCCATGGTGGGCTGGTAGGGGGTCCTGCAGGGCTGCCTGGGGGTTTGTTCCTGGGAGTTTGGGGCTTGGGAGCCCAGGTTTGGGGCAGCCTGGCTGGGTGGTGCTGGGGACGTGGTGGTCTGTGTGGCTGGAGTGAGTGGTGGCACTGGTGCCACCTGGCACCTCATGATAGAATCCCAGACTGGTTTGAGTTGGAAGGGACCTTTGAGATCATCTAGTTCCAACCCCCTGCATGGGCAGGGACACCTCCCACCAGCCCAGGTTGCTCCAAGCCCCATCCAACCTGCCCTTCAACACTGCCAGGG